CTTATTTCATTTATATGCAGAATTCATCATGCGAAAGGCTGGAGTGGATCAATCCCAAGCCGGAATTAAGATTGCCGGAAGAAAATATCAACAACCTCAGATATGCAGATGACACAACCTTGATGGCAGAAAGTGAGGAGGAATTAAAGAACCTTTTAATGAGGGTGAAAGAGGAGAGCGCAAAATATGGTCTGAAGCTCAACATCAAAAAAACGAAGATCATGGCCACTGGTCCCATCACCTCCTGGCAAATAGAAGGGGAAGAAATGGAGGCAGTGAGAGATTTTACTTCCTTGCGTTCCATGATCACTGCAGATGGTGACGACAGTAGTCACGAAATTAAAAGACGCCTGCTTCTTGGGAGAAAAGCAATGACAAACCTAGACAGCATCTTAAAAAGCAGAGACATCACCTTGCCAACAAAGGTCCGTATACTTAAAGCTGTGGTTTTCTCAGTAGTGAAGTATGGAAGTGAGAGCTGGACCATCAAGAAGGCTAATGGCCAAAGAATTGATGCTTTTGAATTCTGGTGCTGGAGGAGACTCTTGAGAGTCCCATGGACTGCAAGAAGATCAGACCTATCCATTCTGAAGGAAATCAGCCCTGAGTGCTCACTGGAAGGACACATCCTGAAGCTGAGGCTCCAAGACTTTGGCCACCTCATGAGAAGACTCCCTAGAAAAGACGCTGATGTTGGGAAAGATTGCAGGCACAAGGAGAAGGGCACGACAGAGGACGAGATGGTTGGACAGTGTTCTTGAAGCTACCAACATGAGTTTGGGGTCATGAAGATGTTGGGAAAAAGCAGCAAGGCAAAAGCCAGCTCCAGATAGCTGGAATGCAAAACAGGATGTTGTGTTTTGCAGATGTACTGTTGGAGAAAAGGAGGAGTCTATTCTCTGTACTGAGCACCGGATGTTAGCTCAGAGTGTCATGTGACCTGTGCTGGAAGTACAGGGGAGAGTTGTGACTCTTCTGATCGAATCTGAAGGGTGCAGTCACGTTTCCTATGTACTGCTGAAAGACAGGAATAAAACATGTAAATAGGACTCCTGTCTGTCTCATTTCCCCTCCCTGGGGAGAATGCAGGGAGGGAGAGAAGCAGAGGGTGTGTTTTCCTCACGTCTAATGAGGAGAATCGCCGGGTTTATGACCTTGCCTGCCGGGAGACGCAGCGGAGAGGTCATCAAGTATCCAGCTCTTTTGCCTGGGGGAGGCCAGTTACCTCTGACTGTGAGCTGAGATACTAACATATGGCAGCATTCGGTGGTTGCGATTCATCGAACATCTGCATGAGAGGCTGGAGAATTGTCCTCCTCTACTCCAAGGAAGGAGATAAGCATCTGAGAGCAGCCAGAGGCTGAACAGACGGCTGGACCTAGAGGAAGCTGTTTTCAAAGCAACGGAGATCAAGGTATGCTGCATTTCGGGCTAAAAGTGTGAACGCAGATTGATTAATTCTCTGGTTCATGGGGGAGCTGCGTATTGGAAAAATACAGCTCTGGAAGGAGAGGCCTGCAGCTCAGAGGCTGAAGCCTGCATTCCACAAATTCTTGTGGTTGAGATAAGAAGTCCGGTATGCACTGTTGCAAGTAACGATTGTGGAAAGTTACTGGCAAGAGAAGCTGGATTGTGAGGCTGGAAAAGCGAAACAAAACCACAGAGTGTTTTGGCAAAAGCTTACGAGCTCTTGGAAGGGACTTTCCATAGCAGCCAGCGTTTAGCTGCCAGGTGCCAAAGAGCGTAAACAACTTGCAGTTTGCCTGCTACAGAGATGACAGGAAACAACTGTTGGATTTTACAGCTTGCTTGAGAGTGTGAGCTGAAGGCTTGGCTTCAAGATGGATGCCAAGAAAGGGGGGGTTGCCTTACCCACCTCCCTTAAATAATGACAATTATTCATCTTGGTCTGTAAAAATGAAGGCCCTGCTGCAGAATCAGAGGCTTTTTGATGTAATTGAAAACCCCATCCCTGCAGCACCAACCGGAGGTTGGGAATCACTGAACGTGAGGGCCAGGACTGCTATAATTCTGTGTGTCTCAGATGAGCAGTTGGTGCATGTTCAGAATTTAGAACACGCGAAAGAGGTTTGGGACACGCTGCGTACAACGCATCAGAGAGATGCTGGTTCTTCAGCGTTGCTGTATTTTGAGAAGTTGACCAATCTGAGACTAGCGCCTGATAGAGATGTTCAAGCGCACCTGACAGAGATGAAGTTTCTGCGTCAACAGATGGTGGAACGCAATTTCCGTCTACAGGAGGAAGTGTTTTGCTTCATGATGATAAACAGCCTTAACCGGACCTACAAGGTTGTTGCCAGTCAGCTTGGTTCCCTTCCGGCTCAAGACCTGACCGCGGAGAGAGTTTGTGCCGTCATCCTGAATGAACACGACAGACTTGCTGCACTGGAAGTGAAGGACAGCGGGAGGGAAGAACAGAGTTCAAATCTCCCCACTGCTGGTGCTACTGCAGAGCATGCTACAGCATTGAGCACTGTCCAATGCTACAATTGTGGACAGACTGGGCATCTACAGCGAAACTGTAGGAAGCCACGCCAGCCAAAAGGAGCAAAGAGCAGCTCTACAAAGCCTGAGGCGTCAAGCAAAAGCCGTACCAAGTGCCAGGTGAAACCTGAAAAGGCTATGATGGCGAAAGGAACCACGCCAGATGTTGGGAACGCATTCATAATTGACACGGGATGTACAAAACACTTGTGCCCGCACCGAGAACTGTTTTCGACGTTGAAGAAGCAAAGCTTCACTGTGAAACAGGCCAACGGTCAAGAGATGGAAGCGACCGGAATTGGAACTGTGTATCTTGAGAGTCTGAACTTGACTATAAGTGATGTTTACCTGGTTCCAGAACTGAGATTTAATCTGCTGAGTGTGTCGCAGATTGCAAAGAAAGGGCTGAAACTGTCCTATGATGCTAGAAGCTGCAAGATCTACAAAGATGGAGAACTGTATCTTACTGCCAGAGAGAAAGATGGACTGGATTTTATTGACTTTTGATCAAAGTGATTACATGAAATGTAATTCTTCTGATTCTAACGAAATCTCTCTTGCAGGTGTGACCAACACGAGCACCAGGAAGGTGAATAAAAAGGTCGACAGAGCATTTCAGCGGGTGTATGCTGATGTGATTGGTCCTCTAGAACCATCTAGGGGCGGTGCACGATTTTACCTTCTGTGTGTGGATTGTTTCACTAGTTATTCTTGGGTTTTTGTGATGGAGAAACCGCAAGAAACTTTAGAAAAGTTTCAGGAGTTTTGTGACAAGGTTAAAAATATGCATAATGCTAACATTGATTGTCTTTTCACAGATGAGAAGCAAATTTTTCTGTTACAGAAGTTTCAGAAGTTCCTGGATGGAAGAGGAATAGACCACAAAATTGCTGTTTCAACCGAAGCGTGGAACAGAGGTGTCTGTGTGAGGGTGAACAAAGAATTGCAAAAGGGGATGCATGCGCAATTGCTGAGTTCACATTTGCCACATGAATATTGGGCGGAGTCTCTAGCGTCCTATCTTCATGTGTGGGTCAGAAAGGTCTCAACAGAGTTGGGATGTTCTCCTTTTGAGAAGCTGTTCAATAGAAAACCTTCTGTTGCCTATTTCAAGGTTTTCGGGTCTCATGTGAGAACAGAAGCTCCAGGTGGAGTAAAGAATGCCAGAGGCATTTTTGTGGGATATGAAAAGGGTCTCTACAGAGTAATTTTGTCTGAATCTGGTCAGGTGATTCTCACAAAGTTTCTAGAGAGTGCTCCGGAACAAGAGCGGGTAGTAGTACACACATTTCCCACAGATGACAATTCAGATGATGATGATTACACAGATTACAGTGGTACTGATGACGACACTGATAGCTCAGAGAGTTCAGTTGTAACAGTCATTGAGAGGAAATCTCACACAATGGATAGACCTTCACAGATGAAGGAAGAACCACTGTTACCCATTGCATCTGGTTCTCAACAAAGTCCAGAGGTTGAACCAGTGAGCACAGAGGATCAGAACCTCATACGCAGGTCTGAGAGAGTTACAAAGGGTGTACCACCAAAGAGGTACTCAAAAGAGTTTGCTAACTTAGCTGTTGCATGTGTTGCTATTGTTAACAACTCAAAGCAGGTTAAAGCAGTGTCTAAGTCAGAGACAAAGGCACAACAGAGAGTAGCAAGCCAAGGTAATACAGAAGCACTCATTCCTTGGAAACCAGACAACCAGAGAGGTACACTGGTGGAACCGGTGGTGGGGAGTTCCAAGGGTGGAACTGAAACAACAGGGGACTGTTATATGTATAACAACTGTTTGTTCTCTTCTCTGGATCATGTTTTGCCGATTGATGCTTTTGGGGGAGGTTGTTGGGAAAAAGCAGCAAGGCAAAAGCCAGCTCCAGATAGCTGGAATGCAAAACAGGATGTTGTGTTTTGCAGATGTATTGTTGGAGAAAAGGAGGAGTCTATTCTCTGTACTGAGCACCGGATGTTAGCTCAGAGTGTCATGTGACCTGTGCTGGAAGTACAGGGGAGAGTTGTGACTCTTCTGATGGAATCTGAAGGGTGCAGTCACGTTTCCTATGTACTGCTGAAAGACAGGAATAAAACATGTAAATAGGACTCCTGTCTGTCTCATTTCCCCTCCCTGGGGAGAATGCAGGGAGGGAGAGAAGCAGAGAGAAACAGAGGGTGTGTTTTCCTCACGTCTAATGAGGAGAATCGCCGGGTTTATGACCTTGCCTGCCGGGAGACGCAGCGGAGGCCAGTTACCTCTGACTGTGAGCTGAGATACTAACAAAAGAGTCGGACACGACTAAACGACTAAACAGCAACAATACTTTATTTTTTATCATGTTTTCAATAGTCTGTTGGGAGCTGCTCAGCGTTAAGAATTTTAAAATTTTGTTTTGATTAAGGCAGACCAACACAGCTACCTACCAGTATCTGTTGTTATTATTATTAGTTCTTTAAACATTCCAAGCACGGTTAGGGTTTCTCCCCTTTATGAATTCTTTGATGGGAAGTGAGAGCATCCTTTCGACTGAAGCTCTTTCTACATTCCAAGCATTTATAGGGTTTCTCCCCTGTATGAATTCTTTGATGAACAGCAAGTTTTCCCCTCTCACGAAAGCTATTTCCACATTCCTGGCACTGATAGGGTTTCTCACCTGTATGAATTCTTCGATGAACAGCGAGTTTTCCCCTGTAACGAAAGCTCTTTCCACATTCCTGGCACTGATAGGGTTTCTCACCTGTATGAATTCTTTGATGCATATTGAAACTGTTGTTGTGACTGAAGCTCTTTCCACATTCGAAGCATTTATATGGTTTCTGACCTGTATGAATGCTTTGATGGGAAATGAGATTGGCCCTCCGAGTGAAGCTCTTTCCACATTCATAGCACTGAAAAGGTTTCTCCCCTGTATGAATGCTTTGATGGGAAATGAGATTGGCCCTCCGAGTGAAGCTCTTTCCACATTCATAGCACTGAAAAGGTTTCTCCCCTGTATGAATGCTTTGATGGGAAATGAGATTGGCCCTCCGAGTGAAGCTCTTTCCACATTCATAGCACTGAAAAGGTTTCTCCCCTGTATGAATTCTTCGATGGGAAACGAGTAATCGACTCTCACGAAAGCTCTCTCCACATTCCAAGCACTGATAGGGTTTCTCCCCTGTATGAAATCTTTGATGGGTTGTCAGATGGCTCTTCTGACTGAAGTTCTTTCCGCATTCCAAGCACGGATAGGGTTTCTCTCCTGTATGAATTCTTTGATGGGAAGTGAGAGAGTCACTCCGACTGAAGGTCTTTCCACATTCCAAGCACTGATAGGGTTTCTCCCCTGTATGAATTCTTTGATGGGAAGTGAGAGAGTCGCTCTGACTGAAGGTCTTTCCACATTCCAAGCACTGATAGGGTTTCTCCCCGGTATGAATTCTGTGATGGGAAGTGAGCTCTGAGTTCTGTCCGAATCTCTTTCCACATTCCAAGCACTTATAGGGTTTCTCCCCGGTATGAATTCTGTGATGGGTTGTCAGACGGCTCTTCTGACTGAAGTTCTTTCCGCATTCCAAGCACGGATAGGGTTTCTCTCCTGTATGAATTCTGTGATGGGAAGTGAGAGTATCCTTCCGACTGAAGCTCTTTCTACATTCCAAGCATTGATAGGGTTTCTCCCCTGTATGAATTCTTCGATGGGAAGTGAGAGCATCCTTCCGACTGAAGCCCTTTCCACATTCCAAGCACTGATGCAATTTCTCTCCACTGTGAGTTCTTTCGTGTGAAGTAAGGCTATGCCTCCGAATGAAGCTGTGTCCTTGATGGGAGGTGGACTGGGAGCTCTGACGGATGTTCTCTCCACACCCAGAATATTTATTTGACTTCTCCACTATGTGGATTCTGTTGTGATCCCCTTTGTTCTTCCCTTCCAATTCATCACCATCTGCAATGAAGAGAGTGTTGAATGGTTACTTTAAATGTAAAGGTTCATCATTGTTCCACCCGATGTGTGTGTCTTTAAGGGGCCAGAGCAAGGGCCAGAGCAAAATAATGAGACCCAGCTTTACAGCTGTGAAACACAGCAGGTGCTGCTGAGTTGTACTGATTAAGCTGTGTCAGCAATTGGGTGTAGTATATAAGGAGCAGCACCTAACTCTCCCATCACCCTGGGGGATGGGTTGGTGGTTGGGTCATGGTTGTTTGTTGTTGTCTTTAGTGTAAATGGAGTTTTTGTTTTTCTTATTAAAACCTTGTTTAAGTTATTTTTGAGTCCCTTTTTAATGCATGGTCTCCCCAGCAAGCTCTCTGCAGCGCTACCATACTGCAAATAGCCAACAGAGAGAAGCTAATTAGAGCCTCAGGAAGAAATGAAGCACCAGATTACTGAACGATGTTATTGAATTAAAAAATTCTTTTCCTTAGATGGAGCAGTTCTTTACTCCTCCCTTTCTTCTAATTACTCTCCTCATTGCTTTAGTCTTCCTGTCTCCTCTCCTTGCAAGTTTGCTGTCTTTACCTCCCCCCTCCCAGGCAGCCTTCTTTATTGCTAGCATCCCTTATCTCGCTCCGGATCGCTTGCTGATCAGTGGCTTTGTTTCAACACCTACTTCCCTCTTTCAAAAAAGAAAAAGAAAAACATGTTCTGCTTTTTGCCCCTGGGCAATTCGTCTCCAAGGACCATGCATTCACCCCATAAGACACACAGACATTTCCCCTTGCTTTTTAGGAAGAAAAAAGTGTCTTATGGAGCAAAAAATACGGTAATTAAAATACATTCTAGAATCAATTCAGAATGAAATTAATGGCAACCATCGGTTTAGAGTTCTATGAAGATTACAGAAGGAGAGAAGGGGTCAGACTGTCCATGATCCCAGGATTCTCCTCCTTTACTTCCTTAGGCAGAACTCTTTGGTCAGGATCCATTAACATCCATGCCTTGTCTGTGAAACCTACACCCCATCAGCAGTTGCCTCATTCTGATTGGTTTAAATTTAAATTTATACATAAATCACTTTCTTCAGTTTGAACCCCTGTCCTGTGTTCATGAGGAGACCAACTCCGTATTATTTCATTGGTAACAGAAGAGGAAAAGTGACTATAACTCACACTTTATCTAAGCACAACAGCCGCAAGAGCTCCTGACTAGGCATTCAGCTATGCAATGTTGAATGCTCTCTGTTCTCTCCTGTTTCCTCATTTTTTGTTCCAGTTTAAAACATTTCATGAACCCAGAACTCACACACTGACCGCTAATGATGAATTGTATGCTATAGATATTCCTGCAAATAGATTCTGCTAGTTTTGAGATATACAAATGACATGAGAAGACTGGGTCTACATCAGGGGTTGGCAAGCTTTACCTCGCCTGGGCTAGTTCACTCTCACGGAAATCGCTCCGTGGGCAGGATCAAGTGTGTACACACAGGACTCACCGAGCAGACGGCTCGGTTTGGGGGCAGCTCAGTTAAATGACCCCTATGAGCCGCTTGCGGCCCGTAGGACATGGATTGCCGACCCGTGGTCTACATATTTGCATCATTTAGTGGTCCTATGATCCTTGTTTTTAAAAGCAAATAAAAGTTATTCCAAAAAGAAAAGAAAAGGGCAACACATGGAGGACGCAGGATCAGGATTCAGTTCTAGAAATTTGTGTGCAGAAGTCTGATCCATGGAAAATGTGTAAAAGAAGTAATCTTAAGCCTAAACAGCATACAGCCTATAACTTGAATCCGTATTCATGTTAACAGAAAATAATAAACAGCACTGTTTGTTCCATTTCTGTGGAAGAAGAAGAACCAAAACTCCTTGTTTACATCTGTAATAATAAGGTTTGTTTGCAACCTGTTTTCCCAAAGATTTTTTTTAACATATAGACACATCTCATCATATCTTTTATCTTAACATCTTCTGCTCAATTGAGCTTTGTGACTTCCTTCTATCACGTCTAATAGTTTACCAATTAATTGCATTCTGTTTTGTTTCTTTTTTCAGTTACATCAATACCTATCTCATGACATTGTTCGGCATAAATAAGTGATATTTTAATCTTACAAATCTTCTGACAGTCCTACTCTGTTTTCCCAAAGAAAACCCACAGTCGCTCGTGATTCCTACTCCATTGGGGATTTCACCTGAGGGAAAGGGAAGCAGAGGGCTGGTCCAGCGGTGCCAGGGAGAGAAAGTGATGTGGCGTCAGCTTCAGATCGGCTCTTCCCATTGCAAGAGCCAATTAAAAGTTGCGCCTCGGAAGTCAAAGAGACTTCAAGAACTATATGACTGTATTCCTAGCTCAAAATGCCTGCAGATTACAAAGGCGCAGGCAGGCAGGTGGGGGAGCCCGAAAAGGTGCTCCCCTTCTCCATCTCCATCCGCCTGCCTGTCTCCTCCCACCCCCAAACTGAGCAAGCCCTGATACCTCTCTGGCTCCGTCCATCCAGGTCCCCATCTCCACTCCCCTGGGACTCACCAGATCTCTCGGAGGTCCCTGGGAGGGAACGCTCAGAGGTTGTGGGGAGGGATGCAGGAGACAGCCGGACCAAGTCAACCGTCCATCTTCCCCCTTCCATCCTTGCTAGCTTTGCAGGATCCGTCTCTTTCATCCTTCCTGAGGAGCCAAAACAGTGGGAGATAAGGAACTGCTTACAGCCATGGAGACGTAGTTACAAATTGGCTCTGACTTTGGGAACTGTTCCCTTCTTTTGGATACCAGTTAAAAACTACTGTATCCAGCTGTCCTTTGGGATTAAAAGATGTTAGCTTGAGGAATCTGAACAGTCTTTTGGAAACTGGTGGTACCGAAGAAGGGGAAAGGAAAAACTCCAAATTTTGGGGTTTGGAGGTATAAGAGGGAGCTAGCAGGCAACTCTTGGCACTATTGAGGGGATACCTCAGGAAGTGGAAAGAGCCTGGATTAGCTCTCAAAGCAACCTCATTGCCTCATTATCAGCGGCTGCCAAGAAAGACCTGCCGACTGGAACTCCAGCATATCTGTGATTTAAACATCAAATCAAATTTGCCATGGGATTACAGTAAGGCTTAAAGTGGAGACACAACTTTTGGAACGATTGCAAATCACCACTGTCTGGGACAATACAAGCAGATAAGGACAAATTAAGTACAACTTTGCCCTTAAATACATAAAACTGGAATAGCACTGTGCTGACCTCTCTTTATTGGACCTTTTAATTTTGTTTTTTGTCTCTCCCTTATAATTGTATATTTTAAGTTTCTGAACTTTATTGGATGCTCTTCTTCCTCTTTGCTATTTTTTTGTGATATTGTATGACTGTAATACTTGCTGCTGTGTGGAGGGAGAAGGTAGACAAAAGCGAAAGAGAAACTGGAAAATAATTTTGGAAGGGGGGAAACAATCTCACGGTCAGACAGAGTTGGAACTGGCAGGTGTGACCTTGAACAGCTTAAATAACACTGGGAACCAACTGATATAGAGATGGCGGGGAAGGAAGGAACAATAACTAGAAAAGTCGCAGCTGCGGCTGCAACTAGACAGGCAAGTGTCCAAGAAGAATTGCCTGATAAGGGGGGAAGAGAACAGACAGATTTCCTTGCACAGCAACTTTTGGAATTCAGGAAAGAAATGGTTCAATCGATGCAAAACTTTACACAACAGGTCCATAGTGATAAGGAAAAATCTAATCAAACCTTGATTGAACAAGTCCATAGAGATATTGAAAACTCCAACAGAGTTTTGAAAGAACAATTTGGGATACTGGGAGATAAGGTTAACAAGTTGGAAACCGCAGTAGATAAATTGGAAGACCAAAGAGGAGACAGGAGAATTGAGAGAGGAACAAAAAGGGATGAGGGGGACTTTGGGAGGGGTTCAAGGGAAGCAGAATGAATTGGAGTATCAGATTCTTCTTTTGCAGCTAAGGGAAAGACATAGAGAGATTAAGATTAAGGGGATTCCCATAATATGATACAGAGTCAAACTTAGAAACATGTTACAAGACAATCTTGATGGGAGAAAGGAGGGATTAGCTGGATGGTCTTTCAGAGAGCTGTTTCAGAATTAGGACAAGAGAGCGAAGGCAGCCAGGAGATCATTTTATTAACATTAGTATAAAAAAGAAGAAGGATGCAATCCTTCAAAAGAGTTTTGAAGACAATCTCGTGGTTGCTGGGCAGAAAGTAGATATTTTTCAGGAAATTTCACTGAAATTGAGACTTAGAAGGACCAGATATAGGTTTTTAACAACAGCACTTAGGAGAGTTGACATCAGACACAAATGGGAATTCCCAGAAGGCATATCTTTTACATTTATGAAAAAGAGATACAGGCTAACATCAGAATTTCAAGTGAGAGAGTTATTTGAAAAATATAAAAGAGACTTTGAGCCAAAACAACACGGGGGGGGGGGATCCAGTAGCAGAACAAAGAGCTGCTTTGGAGCGGCTATCATTGGAAGGGGCAATGCCCCCCCAAAAATAATATTGTAACTGACTCTGACAATGACCAATCTTAAAATATTGAGCTGGAATGTTAATGGATTAAACTGTAAAGCCAAATGCATTCAGCATGTAATAGCAAAGCAGAAATTAGATATAATCTGTCTCCAATAAACACATACTGCAAAAAAAAGTCCTAATTAATAAAAAATTAGGTTTGGACTTCATCTCATCAGACAAAACAAAAAAGAGAGTAGTTTTTTACATTAATCCTGCACTTGAACCCAAACTGATTCAGAAGGATGAAAAAGGTAGAATATTAGTAATACAAGTTAAAATCCAGGGGGAGGAAGTGATATTGGTTGGTATTTATGAACCCAATGACAAAAAAGCAATATTCTTCAAAAAGTTAGAAACAGAACTACTCGAATTTGCAGATCAAAAGATGATCTTAATGGGAGACTTAAATGGAGTTCCATCTCTAGATAAAGACAGGTCAGCCAGGAAAAAAGAGACAAAGGAAGGCAAATTACCAAAGACTTCTTTTGATATGGCTCAAAACTTAAATTTGATAGATATATGGAGAATCAAACATGTTTGATAAGGAGTTCACCTATTACAGCTATGTACATGACAGCAGCTCGAGAATAGATTCCCTATGGCTCTACAAAGAATTGGAGACAAAAGTCAAAGAAAAATGAAATCAATCCCAGAACCTTTTCAGATCATAATTCCTTGATTATAGAATTACAAAAAGAAAGTCAAATTTCTTTTAGATGGAGGTTAAATGATGATTTACTTGATGATCAAAAATTTATGGAAAAAGCAAAAAAGGCCTTGACTGACTATTTTGAAATAAACTGCCAAGGACAGACAAAAATCACAGACAGTCTGGGACGAAAGTAAGGCAGTAATGAAAGGACTCTTTATACAACAAAATTCATACAAAAGGAAGTTGAGAGAGAAAAGGAAAAAGGAAATCCTAGCAGAAATTACAGAAAAGGAGAAAGAGCTGTCAGACAAAACAAACAAAGTGGCAGTGAAACAGGTAATTAAAACTTTACGAACTCAATACTCAATGATCATTAATGAGGAAAATAGTTGGAAAATAAAAAGAGTGCAACAAAAATATTTTGAGCATTGAAATAAACGGGGAACAGCTAGCTTGGCAGTTAAAGAAAAGTGAACAGAGGAACTCCATAAATAAAATCAATCTAAATGGGAAGATCACAGATAAATTGTTTTTTTTTAAATTAATATTTTATTAAGTTTTATCAATAAAATAATTCAGAACAAAAATACAAAACAGAAAAATACAAAATCACAAAATCCAAAAATACAAACATTAAACACAAAAAGGGAAAGAAAAAGAAAAAAGAAAAAAAATAAACACATAAAAACAAAACTCCCTCTTTTTTAATTTTTCATCTTTAGTTAACTTATTTTCCTGACTTCCTCACGCCTCCCTTTTTTGTATCCCATTTTTTAAATTTGGTTCAGCAAATTCATGTCCAATTTAGCTTATCTGTTATCAATCCCATCTTACTTTTTACCTTGTTGCTAGAATCCCTTCAGTTCATTTCAACGTCATCAGCATTCAAAAAATTTACAATGTTTCTGTAAATAAATTTTAAATTTCCTCCAGTCTTCTTCCACAAGCTCTTCTCCCTGGTCTCGAATTCTGCCAGTCATTTCCGCCATTTCCATGTAGTCTATTAGTTGCATTTGCCATTCTTCCAGGGTGGGTAGATCTTGTGTCTTCCAGTGCTTTGCGATGAGAATTCTTGCTGCTGCTGTAGCATACATAAAGAAAGTTCTATCCTTCTTTAACACCGATTGGCCAACTATGCCCAGGAGAAAAGCCTCTGGTTTCTTCAGAAAGGTATATTTAAATACCTTTTTCATTTCATTATAGATCATTTCCCAGAAGGCCTTAATCCTTGGGAACGTCCACCAAAGGTGAAAGAATGTGCCTTCAATCTCCTTACATTTCCAGCATTTATTATCGGGCAAATGATATATTTTTGCATGCTTGACTGGAGTCATGTACCACCTGTACATCATTTTCATAATATTCTCTCTTAAAGCATTACATGCCGTGAATTTAATACCGGTGGTCCACAACTTCTCCCAGTCAGCAAACATAATATTGTATCCTATATCCTGTGCCCATTTTATCATTGCAGATTTTACCATTTCTTCCTCAGTATTCCATTTCAGCAGCAGATTGTACATTCTTGATGGTATCTTAGCATTGGGTTCTAACAATTCTGTTTCTAACTTTGATTTTTCCACCTCGAAACCAATTTTTTTATCCAAATTATAAACCTCTCTTATTTGAAAATAATGTAACCAGTCTCGCACCTTCTCTTTAAGTTTGTCATAACTCTGCAATTTCAATTTGTCACCTTCCTGTTCTAAAATTTCCCAATATTTTGGCCATTTGGCCTCCATGTTAAGTTTTTTCAAAGCTTTCGCTTCCATAGGTGATAGCCACCTTGGGGTTTTACTCTCCAAGAAGTCTTTGTACCTTATCCAAACATTAAACAATGCTTTCCTGACAATATAGTTTTTAAATGCCTTATGTGCTTTTACCTTGCCATACCATAAATAATAATAATAATAATAATAATAATAATAATAATAATAATAATAATAATTTATTATTTATACCCCACCCATCTGGCTGGGTTTCCCCAGCCACTCTGGGCGGCTTCCAAAAGAATATTAAAATACTGTGGTACATCAAACATTAAAAGCTTCCCTAAACAGGGCTGCCTTCAGATGTCTTCTAAAAGTCTGGTAGTTGTTGTTCTCTTTGACATCTGGTGGGAGGGCATTCCACAGGGAGGGCGCCACTACGGAGAAGGCCCTCTGCCTGGTTCCCTGTAACTTGGCTTCTCGCAGTGAGGGAACCGCCAGAAGGCCCTCGGTGCTGGACCTCAGTATCCGGGTAGAACGATGGAGGTGGAGACGCTCCTTCAGGTATACTGGACCGAGGCCGTTTAGAGCTTTAAAGGTCAGCACCAACACTTTGAATTGTGCTCGGAAACGTACTGGGAGCCAATGTAGGTCTTTCAAGACCGGTGTTATATGGTCTCGGCGGCCGCTCCCAGTCACCAGTCTGGCTGCTGCATTCTGGATTAGTTGTAGTTTCCGGGTCACCTTCAAAGGTAGCCCCACGTAGAGCGCATTGCAGTAGTCCAAGCGGGAGATAACCAGAGCATGCACCACTCTGGCGAGGCAGTCCGCAGGCAGATAGGGTCTCAGCCTGCGTACCAGATGGAGCTGGTACACAGCTGCCCTGGACACAGATTTAACCTGAGCCTCCATAGACAGCTGTGAGTCCAAAATGACTCCCAGGCTGCGCACCTGGTCCTTCAGGGGCACAGTTACCCCATTCAGGACCAGGGAATCCTCCACACCTGCCCGCCTCCTGTCCCCCAGAAACAGTACTTCTGTCTTGTCAGAATTCAATCTCAATCTGTTTGCCGCCATCCATCCTCCAACCGCCTCCAGACACTCACACAGGACCTTCACCGCCTTCACTGGTTCTGATTTGAAAGAGAGGTAGAG